ACACATTCTTCACACACACGCACACGTACACACACACACACAACCTGGCGACCAAAGAAAATCAGCAACCTGGGATAGTAAGATGTAATGCAGAAGGAACCAATGAATGCCAGTTGCTTCTTGACTTGACATACAAAAGCCTTGCAAATGGTCATGTTGAAGAAAAGCTATTGCTAAGTTTTTCAGTTCTTTTTAATTGTTCAAAAAGCAGATAATATCACTAATTGCAAGGGAGGTGACAAAAACAGGAGGGAGAAAGAGAAGTGGCTTACAACTAAACTGATAATGGATTAGTTTGTCAAGAATTACATTATCTAGTATCCTAAATTTTTAAGAAGTGCAAAACTCAACCAAGTATACAAATATTGACATTTGTTAGAATGGCAAAACTATTAAAACATTGTCTCTATGTTTGAGAACTAAAAATAATCTCCAAAAACCAAAATGGCAAGATAGATTGGAGGTATAGAATTTTATTATTTAGTGAGTCAAGAAATTATGTTCATGACAGAGAGTGTTGTCTACAGGGACATGGGTTATAATTGTGAATAGAGTGGAAACCCTAGAAGTAATGTTTGGGCTAGGTGCAATGGCTTATGCCTCTAATCTCAGCACTTTGTAATGTCAAGGCAAGAGGATTACTTGATGCCAGGAGTTTGAGACCAGCTTAGTCAACATAGTGAGACCCCATCTCAAAAATATATATATTTTAAACTGATGCTTGTGTGTGGGCCAAGGCTTGGCACCATGTAGTTTTGGAATAGCAGCTCCCTGATAGGTACACAGAGACATGCCCATACTCCCTTATACCTCACTTCTGAAGCAGAAACAAATGTGGGGAAAATGTGTATGAGAGAAATAAAGAGGATTAAAATGGTGGCCACAGGAAGAAGCAAGTAGAGTCCAATGCTTTGGCATAGACCCTTCTGACATGCTTACAGGAAGTTGAAACCAGTGATGCCATGGAAATACTCTAGGTGAATCCTGTCTCCACTTATAGCACGTGGCACAAGGCAGATATGTGAGAACAGCAGTGATAAAATCCAGGAACTCTGCATTGGTGATGTAATGTGTCTACTCTAGGCAACCGCCTCTCATTGAAGACAACAATGAAAAATAAACAAATACAATTTCCGTATGAAATTATCAGGAATATTTTGCAATGAAAAGCCAAGATTTCCGGTATGTTGTTCTGGCAAAGAATCTGAACAATGTGGAAACCAGAGACATGCACACAGAGTCAGCTATCTCCACATTCACACAGCCTTGGACATTGTATGCAACTGGGATCCTTCCTTTCGGGGCACCCTTACAAAGGTTG